AAAAATTGGAAAAATTTATGTTATGCAGATACTGAAATTGTAATAATTGTAAAATAAGTCAACCCCTTCAGCGCAATTAAATAGGAGTTGGACTTTATTTGCAGTATTTAGATAAGGCTAAAAAGGTTTTGTGGCATTTAGGATTTGGAAAAGGCTATGAAGGGTGGATAGGGGGGCAAGTGGCAGATGTTTCAGGTGTATGGTGTAGGAGGGGGTTACTGAAAGCATGAAGGTTTTTCGAGGATAGTGAGGCTCAAGTTAAATATGTAGGAAAGAGGGAAATTATTTTCCCTAAAGGGGGCCTTAGACAGGATGGTGAGTCACCGTGGTTGTTTAATATATTTATAGATGGGGTTTTAAAAAGAAGAAATGGAGGGTCTTGCAAGAGGCGTGGAGAAAAAGATAAGAATCACACATAAAGTGGGAGTTGTCACGGTTTTTTTTGTTTTTGGGCACGTGCTTTGGGATTTTGAAAAGAAGTTGCAGAGATTGGTGGGGAATTTGGTTTGGGGGTTTCAAAAGAAAAAAATTAAAAATAAATAAAGGGAAAAATTAAAGGGTTTTGAGGGTAACAAAAATATTGGTATGAAAGTTTGGGTATCAGATTGGGGGGGGAGTAGGGGGAGGTGAATGTATTCAGATATTTGGGGGTGGAGTGTCACGGATGGGTTATGAAAGGTGAAATGAATCATAAATTGATGAGGGGGGAAAAAAGGGAGTGGTCATTAGGAGTCTGTGGAGACAAAGAACTTTGTCCTTGGAGGCAAAGAGGGGAATGTATGAGAGTATAGTTTTACCAACGCTCTTATATGGGTGTGAAGCATGGGTGATGAATGTTGCAGCGAGGAGAAGGCTGGAGGCAGTGGAGATGTCATGTCTGCGGGCAATGTGTGGTGTGAATATAATGCAGAGAATTCGTAGTTTGGAAGTTAGGAGGAAGTGCGGGATTACCAAAACTGTTGTCCAGAGGGCTGAGGAAGGGTTGTTGAGGTGGTTCGGACATGTAGAGAGAATGGAGCGAAACAGAATGACTTCAAGAGTGTATCAGTCTGTAGTGGAAGGAAGGCAGGGTAGGGGTCGGCCTAGGAAAGGTTGGAGGGAGGGGGTAAAGGAGGTTTTGTGTGCGAGGGGCTTGGACTTCCAGCAGGCGTGCGTGAGCGTGTTTGATAGGAGTGAATGGAGACGAATGGTTTTTGATACTTGACGCGCTGTTGGAGTGTGAGCAAAGTAACATTTATGATGGGGTTCAGGGAAACCGGCAGGCCGGATTTGAGTCCTGGAGATGAGAAGTACAGTGCCCGCACTCTGAAGGAGGGGTGTTAATGTTGCAGTTTAAAAACTGTAGAGTAAAGCACCCTTCTGGCAAGACAGTGATGGAGTGAATGATGGTGAAAGTTTTTCTTTTTCGGGCCACCCTGCCTTGGTGGGAATTGGCCAGTGTGATAATAATAAAACATCATTTGTTTACTTTTGAACATTGGCAAAAATCAAACATTTCCCCTACTTTGAGCTCCATTTCAAGGTTCTTTTCATGGTAAAACCAATCAAAATCACCTCTATTTCTATAATGTGTTTTCATTCTATCAAATGAGACCAAGAAAACGAGAATACAACCATAAATACTATACAAAAATATGCCTCAAAGTCGGTGTTTTAATCCAGAAACACGGTCGTAGTTTTTTTTTTCTCATTATGCACTGCGTGCTGCAGGATTTTTTTATATGGTGCACACTGACCACACAGACCCATTCTCTCACATGTGGGCCTACCAGTTTTCTTCTGCTTGATTTGAAAGCGCTAGAACTTTTGAATATATATACGTCAAACATGGTGGCTCGTAAGACATATATATATGACCGAAACAGTCAAAGGGTTAAAAAGAAAAACTTTTGTTTTTCTTTTTAGGTCACCTGCTTTGGTAGAATACAGCTGGTTTATTAAAAAACTACATAACCAGCTGTTGCACTTAATTTACTCATCTTTACATTTGGTTGAAAACCAGCTGAGAAAAAATTACATCATTTATAAGATCATATTTGTTAAATTTACAGTTGTTTATTAATTTTGTTATCTTTTCTTTTGCAGTTCATCTAAACACAAGAATTATACTTAGTGTCATCATCCAGTACAATGAAAGTGTTATAAGTGGCAGATATACTGGAGAAACTGTGTCAACAATGTGGTAATGGTGACTACATTGTTGTGAATTCTTCTTGAATGTCCAGACTTTAAGGTGACCTCATTATTCTGACAATTACAACTACACCTTCAACAACCAGTGAACATAAGTCAACTTACTATAATACTGTACTAATGTTAATATAACACCGTACATGTATTATCAACATGTTTTACACTAAAATTTATTACCTCTTAACAGCTTAATAGCTTACATAAATATTTGTTTATTGTCTTTATAAAACCTAAGTATTGAGTTTTATTAAAGTCTGTAAATTATTTTGTAATATATTTTTTATAGTCTAAAAAGTCAGTAATTTATCAACCATTATGAAGTAATAACAAAGGCAACTAAATATGTTATGATAACAGTTTTTGTAAATATAGTACACAGAACTATAAGGTTTAGGAATTATATTTATTGACTGTTGGAAAAATATTGTAATATATCATCTGTTAATTTCTTCCATTAATGACTGTGGGTAAGATATTATATCATCTATTTTGTCCTCTCTACTTCAAGTATTTTATCTTCCATTAATGACTGTGGGTAAGATATTATATCATCTATATTGTCCTCTCTACTTCAAGTATTTTATCTTCCATTAATGACTGTGGGTAAGATATTATATCATCTATATTGTCCTCTCTACTTCAAGTATTTTATCTTCCATTAATGACTGTGGGTAAGATATTATATCATCTATATTGTCCTCTCTACTTCAAGTATTTTATCTTCCATTAATGACTGTGGGTAAGATATTATATCATCTATTTTGTCCTCTCTACTTCAAGTATTTTATCTTCCATTAATGACTGTGGGTAAGATATTATATCATCTATTTTGTCCTCTCTACTTCAAGTATTTTATCTTCCATTAATGACTGTGGGTAAGATATTATATCATCTATTTTGTCCTCTCTACTTCAAGTATTTTATCTTCCATTAATGACTGTGGGTAAGATATTATATCATCCATTTTGTCCTCTCTACTTCAAGTATTTTATCTTCCATTAATGACTGTGGGTAAGATATTATATCATCTATTTTGTCCTCTCTACTTCAAGTATTTTATCTTCCATTAATGACTGTGGGTAAGATATTATATCATCTATTTTGTCCTCTCTACTTCAAGTATTTTTTCTTCACATTTTCCTTCATCTTCTCAATTATTGGTAGATGTCTTTATTAACTTACTGACAACATAGAAAATATTTTTTATTATATTTTCCTACATATATTTCAGTAGTGTTTTTATTATTATCTTTAAGTTTACCTTCATCAGAAGTGTTCTATAGTTAACACGTAAACTGTCTACATCCCTCATATTGAAACACCTTCAGTGTCAATACATTTTTCAAATTATTAAAATTATTTTGTCATCTGAAAGGATAAAGAATCTTATCATAAGGTAATAATGATGCCAGAAAAATCAAGTTATACAGGCTAGAAGTTGGGCAAAATAACAGGAATTTCATTAATTTGTTGCTTGTTTTAGGCCAGTTTCAGTTCTGAGATATTTTGCTAGTATATCTTCCTCACTATAAATTTATTGCCAAAATTTTTTTATTTGACTGTTAAAAGTTAGCCTCTTAAGGACTCTGAATTTGGAATTTTGCCAATTTTACAAAATTTAAAACAAATTTTGGTTTAAAAGCACTGCAGGGGTTCCTGCCTCTAAAGTACCTTTCCACTTTATCAATAATAATACCTCCAGGCTTCTCATATACAACACTTGACTTTCATTATAATCCTTCATTACACACAAAAATTCAGTGTTTTATTTTTCTTGTATCATAATTGCCTAAAAGAATAATTTCTGTAATTTTTAAGGTCTATTTCTCCCATTTTTTTTTTCCTGATTTAAGTAATTTTCTAGTTTTTCTATTGGTGCTATAGTCTAAAACAAACCAAAAATGGCCTAAAATTTTTATTTTAATTGAAACACAGAGATAAAGGTTAGCTGTTATCATCATGTCCTGTGTGGCAGGATTATTTTTATACTGTGCACACTCACCACACAAACACATTTTCTTATGTCTAGACAAAACTTGTTGCTCGGCATATTTAAGGCATCTGTGAATTAAAAATGGTAGTAGTGAACACTGCTATGATGTATAATATGCAGATATTAAAGGTGTGTGCTATTGTTAATGTATACATTTTTGATATGTGCTGTTATTTATATATTTACCAATGATGTGTCCAGCTGGTATTGCATACTATCATGTTAATGTTGTATGTTGTTTTAATGTATTATCTCATGATGTGTGTGATAGTTGATGAATATACTCATGTTGATGTAGTTTACTCATACAAATAAAAAGAGATAACAGTATTACTAAGAAAGAATATATTGATTACTTGATTATTTACAGTTTATATAAAGTAATAAAACACTTATGATATATTCAATGAATTATTTAGACTTGTACCAATACATTGATTATTATTCCATTTATTTAGAGTTTATATAAAGTTTTTGGATATTAGCTGCAAAAAAAAAAAAAGGATGTCAGGTTCATATTTACAATATAAGTTGGTACATAATGTTTAATTTAAGTATAATTAAATAATATTCTTTAAAAAAAATTCTACACATTAGGTAATTTGAACAATAATCAAGAGACATTAATCATGTATAAGAAAACAATATGTATAAATGACCTTTTCTACAGTATTATTTTAGGAGAACTTTTAAATAACATGTAATATGCAAGAGTTTGATAAGCAAAATATATAATAGCTGTATTCATTACAGGTAAGTAACAAAATGCAGTGTATGAAAGTTCCTTCAAGTAATAACACTTATCAGTGTTCAGAGTGTTTGAAAGACTTTTCAAGTAAATCACATCTAATACAACACATGAGAGTTCACTCACAAGAAAAACCATATCAGTGTTCAGAGTGTTTGAGAAGCTTTTCATGTAAATCACATCTAATACAACACATGAGAGTTCATTCACAAGAAAAACCATATCAGTGTTCAGAGTGTTTGAAAGACTTTTCACGTAAATCACATCTAATAAGACACATGAGAGTTCATTCACAAGAAAAACCATATCAGTGTTCAGAGTGTTTGAAAGACTTTTCACAAAAAACAAATTTAATAAAACACATGAGAGTTCATTCACAAGAAAAACCATATCAGTGTTCAGAATGTTTGAAAGACTTTTCACAAAAATCACATTTAATAAAACACATGAGTGTTCATTCACAAGAAAAACCATATCAGTGTTCAGAGTGTTTGAAAGACTTTTCATGTAAATCACATCTAATAAGACACATGAGAGTTCATTCACAAGAAAAACCATATCAGTGTTCAGAATGTTTGAAAGACTTTTCACAAAAATCACATTTAATAAAACACATGAGTGTTCATTCACAAGAAAAACCATATCAGTGTTCAGAGTGTTTGAAAAACTTTTCACGTAAATCACATCTAATAAGACACACGAGAGTTCATTCGCAAGAAAAACCATATCAGTGTTCAAAGTGTTTGAAAAACTTTTCATGTAAGTCATATCTAATAAGACACATGAGAGTTCATTCACAAGAAAAACCATATCAGTGTTCAGAGTGTTTGAAAGACTTTTCACAAAAAACACATTTAATAAAACATATGAGTGTTCATTCACAAGAAAAACCATATCAGTGTTCAGAGTGTTTGAAAAACTTTTCATGTAAATCACATCTAATACAACACATGAGAGTTCATTCACAAGAAAAACCATATCAGTGTTCAGAGTGTTTGAAAGACTTTAAACAAAAATCACATTTAATAGAACACATGAGTGTTCATTCACAAGAAAAACCATATCAGTGTTCAGAGTGTTTGAAAGACTTTTCACAAAAACCAAATTTAATAAAACACATGAGAGTTCATTCACAAGAAAAACCATATCAGTGTTCAGAATGTTTGAAAGACTTTTCACAAAAATCACATTTAATAAAACACATGAGTGTTCATTCACAAGAAAAACCATATCAGTGTTCAGAGTGTTTGAAAGACTTTTCACAAAAAACAAATTTAATAAAACACATGAGAGTTCATTCACAAGAAAAACCATATCAGTGTTCAGAATGTTTGAAAGACTTTTCACAAAAATCACATTTAATAAAACACATGAGTGTTCATTCACAAGAAAAACCATATCAGTGTTCAGAGTGTTTGAAAGACTTTTCATATAAATCAAGTGTAATAAGACACATGAGAGTTCATTCATAAGATAAACCATATCAGTGTTCAGAGTGTTTGAAAGACTTTCTCTCTAAATCAGATCTAATAAGACACACGAGAGTCCATTCACAAAATAAATCATATCAATGTTCACTCTGTTTCTAATATTTTTCACAAAAATCACATGTACTATAACGTATGATATTTCATTCACAAGAAAAACCATATCACTGTTTAAAAGACTTCTCACAAAAAAATAATTCTAGTACTATACATGAGAGTTCATTCAGTATAGAAGCCTACCAGGCCCATGGCCTGGTATGCTATTCTGTGGCTTATACTGCAACTCTAAGCTAGATCCCCTTCATCACCAATGTTTATGTTCATGCCTTGGTCCTTTCATCCTCTGTTGAAAGCCTCTATGGTGAGGCGAATGTTCCTTCCTTAGCTGATTATGAGGATGCTTATTGCTGTCATTATTTTTTCAGTGCATATGAACTTCGTTTTCCTTCTATGTATAGGTTGGTCTCCAGGGTTAGTAGTGGTCCATTATTTGATCAGTGCCTCTGCTTATTCTGTCCGTTTTCTCTTAATCTTCACTTGCTCAGGTCTTCTCTCCAGTTCCCTCCCTTGTATATTCATGTAGCATCTGCCTTTCCCCTTCCCTCTTGGGAAGTTCCAACAGTTGTGTCTGTTCTCCTCTACTGCTGTGTGCTAAAGGTCTCATACCTACAACTGTTTCTTGCTCTCTTTTTCTTGATCACTTCTAGTCTCATGCTTGTGTCGTTGGCATTTATACATCTGGTTTTAAATCTTCTGATGGCGTTGGGTTCATGGCAATGTCCCTGATGATGATGTTTGGGGTCATATGTTAGACTTGGCTAGTATTTTTACAGGCGAGTTGTATGTCATTGTTATGACCAAGGTCATAATGAGATTAATTTATGTTTTGTCCACTTAATATTATACTTGGGGTTTCTTTAATATTAGTTAAAGATTCCACTAGTTTATAATATTATCTGGTTTAGGAATATACCCGGGTATTACATATATATATATATATATATTTGTGTATTTTGAGTAATGTGTTAGATAGGTAGGTAATAGCTGACTAAGAGTTGAAATAAGGTATGTCCTTGGAGGGTAGTTTAGTCTGCTCTCCCCTTTGGGGAGTTGATGTCATGTAGGGATTAACTGTGTTAGTTCAGTTCGCTCTCTCTGCTGACTCAGTGTGCATTGACTTAGCTACCCCTCTAGTACTTCACCTTATTCTCACTTGGATAAAGAATTTTGTTGTAGAAACTCTTGAACCAGCTTGAGGTTTATTCTGAAGTGAAGTCTGTGGCCAGCTATATACTATTGCCCTCAGTCCTCTTCAAGGGGGGCTCCTTGGCGTGGTGAAGAGGCTCTTGGCCTGAGGGATTAGACATGTCGGTCCCCTTCCTCAGACCGAACCTAATTACCCAACAATCCCCCCTTCCCTATCCCATCCTCCCCATCCTCACCTTTTTCCTTTCCTCCTCCTCCTCCCCACCCCTCCCTTTTGCCCATCCTCTTTTTGGCCTTTGGGATTTTTCCCACAGGCACACTAGTTCATAGGTAGGGGGAAGGGTACTGGGGTCCGTCCCATTCTGTTGAGGTTCTTGGCGGTGGCATAGTTTGCCATGGGATCTGGATTGCCTGAGGATGTCCCGATCCCTCTCCAGTATCCCGGAGGGTGGCTTTGGGTGTTTTTCGGGCGACGGGTGTATCTCTGGAAGCCACCTTTCGGATTCCAGTGGTGGTGGCTGAAGGAGGTATGCTTTGTGGCAGATATCCGGCCACCCTCTCTTTTGTCCACTGAGGTAGCTAGGCAGATGTGAGGTTGCTATCCCGGATTGCTGGTTTACTGGCACGAAGGGTAGGGTATGGCATGCGTTCCATGCTGCACCTGCACTACTTGTGGTGCTGAGGTCCTCTTGGGCACAGAGGGAAATTTCTGGCTCTTTCATTCCTCCTAGGAACTATCCCTCCCCGGTACCCCCTTTTTTTATTCTTTTTTTTATTTTGTTTTCTTTTCTTCTTTCTTTTTTCTCTTAAAAACAAAAAAAAAGAAGTAACCTAACCATGGAGTCCCAAATCCATGACCCTGCTACTCCCGGGCCCCTTATTGTTACCGCACCCTGTTCTGACCTCGCCTCATGTTTTGGACACTCCTAGGGCCCTTGTACCTCTTGCTGGTGCTGTTTCCTCACGCACTTCAAGTACCGGGGCTTCCACTGACTCCTTCGATTTGTCTGACCTCCTCTCTCCTTTGACTATGCTTCCGGCCTCTCCCTCTATGGTGCGACGATTTTCGAATCGCCAGCCCGTCTCACATTGGACCGACTCTGGTCCCACTTCTAAACGCCAAGGACAATCTCTTGACGATGTTACTTCATTACCTTCCCATTCTACTTGGAAAAGACCGACACGTCATGCACTCCCTCTCCACACTCAGTTTTGGACCACACAATGGACTAAATTCTTTACTTTACGATCGACTTCGTCTACTGCCTATCTTTCTGACCACAGTATTGGCAAAGCGCTCCTATGCCACGTTGGTAGAGATATTTCCTTTCATGCTCTTAAGAGTGGTACGTGCATCATCACAGTCCAGAATTCTGCCCAATCTCATGATCTTTCTCTTCTTTCACATATCGATACTATTCCTATCACTATCAAAAAACATCATTCCCTCAATTCTTGTAGTGGTACTGTTATTTTGCCCTATACCATAGTCCAACAGAATTTCCAGACATGTGGCAATGACATTCTCGAACAGCTGGAACTCCAAGATCTCCCAATTCTCAAGGTCGACACTTATGTTCTTCCTGCCCGCGGGCGAAGACGATACCCTTGCAATGTGGCTCATTTAACTTTAGACATCCGTGAACTTCCATCCTCTGTTTATGTAGCAGGACATTGGTTACAAGTTCGGAAGGTGATCCCTACACCGCAACAGTTTAGGAATTGCTGGCGATTTGGCCACCCAGGAAAATATTGCAGATCTATAGCTGAATGCCCAGTCTGTGGTACCTATGACCATTCTAATACATCTTGCAGTCGGCCTCCCTCTTGCCTTAATTGTCATTAGGCTCACCCTTCGTACTCTCCCCTTTGCCAGGTCTGCTTAAATGAGTGGGAAATTCGTTGCCTCAAAGAGGCAGAAGGTCTCCCTTATGCTATGGCAGTTTCTCATCTCCGCCTCCAAGGGAGACTACCCCATGTTTCTTATTCTCGTGTTTCAAAACATCCCCCCACTTCTGGGGTCCCATCTTCTGCAGCCTCCTCTACAGTTGCAAGTCCCATAGTCACTCCTGCATATATATCTTTTGCTGTCCTGGGCTCAGACATCCCTACTTCAACACCTCAGTCTGTCCTCACTTCTTGTTCTCCCTCACAAACCCCGGTATCGACAAGACCTCGTACGACACCTCCTCCCAATCGTCCCTCTACTTCTCAGAGGTCCAATAAATCTTCTTTAACCCCTCCTTCCCTTCATTCACCTCCACATTTTACCTTTCCGTTCTCTGTACCTAGGTCTTCCCCTTTCACTGGCTCCATTACAAGTGTGGAGGTTCATCCTCCTCCTCGAATTATGCCTTCCTCCCCTGTCCCCTCCCAAGTTTCTTCCTCTTCTGCCACCTCCTGGGTTTCTGCCTCTTCTGTCCCCTCCCACACTTCTCCAGTTCCCTCCACCCTTTCCCCCCCTACCTTGGTACAGCCCATTACAGCTCCAATCTTTGCTCAAACTCCTCCTCCTTCCATCTCCAATATTGTCTCCCATACGACGTCTCTGAACTCCAAAACACTTGAAGCAATCTCTGAATATATTGCAGAGACCAAACCATCAATGGACACTCCTCTTCAAGGGGGGCTCCTTGGCATGGTAAAGAGGCTCTTGGTCTGAGGAATTAGACCTGTTGGTCTCCTTCCTCAGACCGAACCTAATTACCCCCCAATCCCCCCTCCCTTATCCCATCTTCCCTTTTTCTTTTCCTCCTACTCCTCCCCACCCCTCCCTGTTACCCTTCCTCTTTTTTTTTTTTTTTTTTTTTTTTTACAGGCACGCTAGTTCCTGGGTAGGGGAAAGGGTACTGGGGTCCATCCCATTCCGTTGAGGTTCTTGGCAGTGGTGTAGTTTGCTGTGGAATCTGGATCACCTTGGGATGTCCCAATCCCTCTCTGGTCTCCTGGGGAGTGGCTTTGGGTATCTTTCGGGCGATGGGTGTATCTCTGGAGGCTGCCTTTCGGATTCCAGGGGTGGTGGCCAAAGGAGGTATGCTTTGTGGCAGATTTCCGGCCGCTCTCTCTTTTGTCCACCAAGGTACCTCGGCAGATGTGAGGTTGCTATGCCAGATTGCTGGTTTACTGGCATGATGGGTAGGGTATGGCACTGGTTCCATGCTGCATCTGCACTACTTGTGGTGCTGAGGTTCTCTTGGGTGTGGAGGGAGATTTCTGGCCCTCTCATTCCTCCTAGGAACTATCCCTCCCCAGTCTCCCCTTTTTTTATTCTTTTTTTTTATTTTTCTTTTCTTTTCTTTTTTTTTCTTAAAAACAAAAAGAAAGAAGTAACCTAACAATGGAAGCCCTAATCCATGAACCTGCTAACCTCGGGCCCCTTCTTGATACCACACCCCGTTCTGACCCCGCCTCGTCTTTGGACCACTCTTCGGACACTCCTAATGCCTCTGTACCTCTTGCCAGTGCTGTTTCCTCACCTGCTTCTGGTACTCAGGTCTCGACTGACTCCTTCGATTTATCTGACCTCCGCTCTCCTTTGACTATGCTTCTTGCCTCTCCCTCTACGGTGCGGCAATTTTCGAATCGCAGGCCCATTCCATGTCGGACCAACTCTGGTCCCACGCCTAAATGCCAAGGACAATTACCTGCTGATGATACTTCTCCACCTTCTCATTCTCAGAAAAGATCGATACATCCTGCACTCCCTTTCCACGCTCAGTTTCAGAATGCACAATGGACTAAATTCTTCACTTTACGACTGACTTCCTCTATTGCCTATCTTTCCGACCATAGTATTGGCAAGTCACTCCTACACTATGTTGGTAAAGATATTTCTTTTCATGCTCTTAAGAGTGGTACATGCTTCAATCACTGTCACAGACAGGCTACCAAAGCTCGATCTTTCTCTCTTTCCCATGATTATACTGTTCTTGTATATTGAAAAACATCATTACCCTCAATTCTTGTAGTGGTACCGTCATTCTGCCCCATACCATAGTTCAACAAAATTTCCAGACATGTAACAATGACATTCTTGAACAGCTGGAACTCCAAGATCTCCAATCCTCGTTTACACTTATGTTCTTTCTTGCACGGGCGGAGAAGATACCCTAGCTTTGCGGTTCCATTAACTTTTGACAGCCATGAACTCCCATCCTAGTTTATGTTACAGGACATCGGTTACAAGTTTTTGAAAGCTGATCCCTACCCAAAACTGTGACAATTGCTGGCAATTTTTGCCTTCTCTACGCACTGATATTCCGTACCCTAGCTACTTCGTTCGTACTTTGTGCCTTACACCAGCACCCTACCCACTTGTATAGTGGTAACACTCGTTCTTTATATATCCTCCCCTTAATCGGGCATTATCTACTTCCAGATAATGTACCTGTCTTGTTTTCGTCCATTACGGCCAACCCTTCTATTACTTGGCGAATTTTAATGCCATCATTTCCTCTGGGGGTCTCACTCATGATTCCCTGTGCATCATTAGACGCTTTTCTTGCTACCCACCCCCTCCATGTTTTAATACAGGTATCACACCCATTTTGATCCTCTGATTCACATTCTTGCATCGATCTCTCAGGTCTCTGCTTTTCCATCCCGCATTAGACTTCCTGGTCTGTTCTCCCGGATTTACATGACATCAATCATTTTCCAATCATTCTTACTTCCCCTTCATATTCACCACCTCTTCGCATCCCACACTGGCAATTTGATAAGGCAAATTGGAACCTTTACTCACAACTAACTGTTTTTAGTGAAGTTCCTTCTT